TAAACAGACTATAACTACAAACTAAACAAATTCTACTCAAATTAATTCTACAGTTTTGCTTTCTCAGGCGATCCTGTGCATAAAACTGAAATTTAAACAGGTCGGCATTTTACCGGTAAACCGGAAAATCAATGCATAAATTAACTTGTCAGAAGTGTGAATTGCCTCCTGCCAGTACGGTAACGGCCTTGCCGGTACGGCTAATGACCTTCGGGTACGGTAAAGCAGCGGCCGGTACGGTAAAGCAGCGGCCGGTACGGTAAAGCAGCGGCCGGTACGGTAAAGAAACGCATGCCGCAGGAGACTCACAGGAAACCGGCTTGGTGGTAATGATCAGTTCCCTTATGCTAAGTTCATCTTTGAAAACAACTATTTTTTTTTATTTAAAAAAAAAATCATGCCATTTTCCCCTCAAAATCCAAGCCAAAAGAGCATACTACAACATCGGCAAATCTCTTCCGCGTTGCGTTCAATTACATTAACATATTTAAATGAGCTATGGTGATTTAAACGCGTTGGCATCATCCAGCATTTTGATTGGTTAATTAGCGATTCGACTATTAGCTCAACTCATGCAAGAGAAACATGGCGGATACACTACCGCATCGAGCGTTTATGCGTTTATTTGCTTACGATGAAACTAAGTTGAATTTTATTTGAATTTCATAACAATTAACGAATTTATTTTTTGTGCATTATTATAATCACTACTGAGTAATAATCAACGTTTGTGAAACATAGCATGTCTGGATTGAGCATCTGTGATCGCTTGCCGGGATAGCTTGTTGCTACGCAATGCAGTTGTGTTGGTTTTTATTAGAAACGTCGTTTAAAATATACATTTGTTACCAATAAAATAAAAACAAACGTATTTGAAAAATGACACTGGGCGACACTGTAATGACATTTCAGGTGGTCTACTTTTTAATTCAGCAAGAATTATTAATTATTATTAATTCTGCAATAGTTTCTTTCATCTTGGGTGGCCCAACTGACGGCATAGAAAGTCTGTGTAGTTGGATACAATGAAAATGTCCCCCCAAAATATTTGATAATTATTTTTTGAAATTTTAAACCCCAAATAAGCGCCCATCAGCCGTGAAATCCCCTGGGCGATTTTTCGGGTGGGCGAATTTACGGCAGAATCCGGTATTATATAAAGAAAGTATTATGGACATCTCGCACATATTGCGGATGTTTTATATACTGTTTGTAGTTTGCATATGAAAGTGGTTGTTGATGCCCCTCCTATTACTCGACATCGTTGACAATGCGATAACAATGCCACTCGCACTGAGCACATTTTAGCACTAGATCTAGTGCCATTTTAGCGCTAGATCTAGTGCCATTTTAGCGCTAGATCTAGTGCCATTTTAGCACTAGATCTAGTACTTTTTCGGATTAGTGCTACTAGCACTAACCACTCGCACTACGCCCATTTCGACACATTTACATACATGTAAGGTAATTAATATGCACAAATATTTTCCCAAAAACTAATCAGGGGTCTGCACAGTCCTTAAGTAACTATGTACCAAGTGTCATTGAAATGTGACGATTACTACTTGAAATATCAAAAGTTGAAAAATAATTAATTATGCAATTTAGGTAATTAATATGTACTAATATTACCCTAAAAACTATCAGGTTTGTGCAGTGTCCTATTACATCTATGTACCAAGTTTTATTGAAATGTGATGATTAGGACTTGAGATATCAGTGGAAAAGCCAAAATTGATTAATCGTTATGCAAATTAGGTAATTAATATTGCACAGATTTTTACCCAAATCTAATAAAATCTGTGCATTAGTTTGGAGCATCTTTGTGCCAAGTTTCATCAAAATCCAATGAGTGGTTCTTCAGATATCAGTGGAACAGCTAAAAATCAGCTAATTATCATGCAAATTAGGTGATTAATATGCATGGATTTTTACCAAAACCTAATCAAATCTGCACATTGGCCCAGAGCATCTATGCACCAAGTTTCATCAAAAATCAATGTATGGTTCTTGAGATATCAGTGGAACAGACAGACACACATACACACACATACACACACACATACAGACACACTAACTGCAAAGACTCCCACAAATTAAGAATGTACTTACCTTGTACCCGGGCAGTTCACCACCTTCTCCTGGTTTAGCTCCTTGAGCCATTTTAATCTGTAAATCATCGGCATTAGCTAGATACGAACTAGTCACACCAAATCTTCCAGATGCCACTTGTTTAATAGCTGACCTTTTGCTATTTCCTTCTTCTTGGTTCAGATAACGGTTTGCATTTTCTCCACCTTCACCTGTATTGCTCTTTGCTCCCATTCTATTCAAGTACGTAGAAACAACTAGGTCTTACTTTTCATTTTTATATTTTCATCTGCCATAGTTAATTTCTACCAACATTTTGCTCATGACATGCAAGATTTCCTAAATCTATTCGTAGCAATGGCTAATGTGAAATGTAGTGCTAAAGATATTTTAATAATGCCTACCTATTCATAGCAATGGCTAATATGAAATGTAGTTCTAAAGATATTTTAATAATGCTAACCTATTCATAGCAATGGCTAATATGAAATGTAGTGCTAAAGATATTTTAATAATGCTTACCTATTCATAGCAATGGCTAATATGAAATGTAGTTCTAAAGATATTTTAATAATGCTTACCTATTCATAGCAATGGCTAATATGAAATGTAGTTCTAAAGATATTTTAATAATGCCTACCTATTCATAGCAATGGCTAATATGAAATGTAGTTCTAAAGATATTTTAATAATGCTTACCTATTCATAGCAATGGCTAATATGAAATGTAGTTCTAAAGATTTTTTAATAATGCTTACCTATTCATAGCAATGGCTAATATGAAATGTAGTGCTAAAGATATTTTAATAATGCTTACCTATTCATAGCAATGGCTAATATGAAATGTAGTTCTAAAGATATTTTAATAATGCTTACCTATTCATAGCAATGGCTAATGTGGAATGTGCTTCCAAAGAAATACTCCCAAAACTCATCGCTCCAGTAGCAAATCTTTTCACAATATTAGCAGCTGGCTCAACCTCACTTATATCAATAGGAACTTCTGGAAATTTCAAATCAAGTTGACCTCGAAGTGAACAATATTTGACCTACAAAAAATAACATATAAATTTGTTAGGTCTCTATTGAATTACTTCTAATAGATTAAACACATCATGAATAGTAATTTGAAAACTACAACATTTATATCCATTAATCAATGTTTAAATTGTCTATAAAACTTGACTTGCTATCGTTACCAATCCCACTATGTTTATTTTGAGTCAATGTTAGAACTGAAATTTGAGAAACTGTTGATGACATTAAAAAGTTGGTTTTACATGTTTTTTGGACAAATCGGTCCAGACATGTCAGATAAATGATCCATATAGACAAAACCCAAAACACAAGTCCCAATAACGAACTGCATCTGACGGAGACTAATAAATCTATTGTTTTACACACACACATATATATATATATATATATATATAAAATGATTTTTTTCCCACTGAACATAGTTATCAACTAAGGCAATAAGAGATAGTAACTCACTGCATTCATAGCGGATTCTTTAAATTTGTCATACGCATGTTTACTGCTAGTTCTGGCAGCATCTTGTAAATTAGCCAAGCTTTCTGGTTCATTGATATGCTTCTCACCACCACTACGCCAGTGGTAATTCCCAGGGTTCAAGATAATTTGATTATCACAGCTTCTATCTGAATATGCAATCACATGACGCTGTAGAGCCTGTAAACAAAATTATAATATTAACTTCCTGTCTTCATCCAACATTTGCAAACATGCTAGCAAAACTGAGCTAATGGTCTGAACTGTGAACAAGGCATGGAAAGGTAGACAAGGCATGGAGAGGTAGACAAGGCATGGGGAGGTAGACAAGGCATGGAGAGGTAGACAAGGCATGGAGAGGTAGACAAGGCATGGAGAGGTAGACAAGGCATGGAGAGGTAGACAAGGCATGGAGAGGTAGACAAGGCATGGAGAGGTAGACAAGGCATGGAGAGGTAGACAAGGCATGGTGATGTGGACGAGACATTTTTCAATCTTACAGTTGTTGGTAATAGCATGTGACTACTATCAACAGCCATGTCTCCATATTTTGCATGGAATCACAGATTTTGAATATTTACACATCATATAACACACACTGGTGATTAGAACACATTCTGCTGTATTTATTTCAGTGGTAAAAATATAACTGGATAGAAGATGGAATCACTAACTATACCATTCTAAACCACAATTACACATATATAATGGGACAATTCAATTATAGTAACAAATTTTTGGTTTGTTGGTACACATGGAACCTGCCAATTTTAATCAAGCCGTGGAAATAGATTCAAATCTGTAGTTATATCAAACAATTAAATTGACAAATATTTATGTCATATACACATGCATGTATAGTCAAAGTTTATGCAACCCATATCTGATATTCAAATTTTTGAGTTTACAATTATAGCTATATATTTGGAAGTACAGTAGAACGTCGATTATTCGAACTGTTAGGGGGACATGCTTTTTGTTCGGTTATGCAAACAGTTCGGATATGCGATCTTGTGTGGGCGTGCTCAAGTTTACAGGCTCACTACACACAAATTCTAACGCACATGACTGTAATGAAATCAAACAATAATACATGTAGAGTACGTCATTAAAAACATTTTTATTTAATCAGTAATACATTGTAATAAAAATGTTGCATGCTGGAATGTTAAAAAAATGTTTCAAAATGTCCGTAAAATGTAGCGATAATAAAGTTCTTGGGAAAACCAAGTCCCGGAACCAAGTGAAGACGGATTTCTCTGAATGATCGTCATAGGCTGTTTTCGTTATCTTTCGTTGCAATCCTGCACTTGAATCCATTTTACTGAAAAAATCCAGCAGCTTTTGTTTTGCCTTCATATCGGAT